GGGGGGGGGGGGGGGGGGGGGGGGGAGGAGGCTTAGGTAGCAGTTATTTTACTATACAAAAGTCTGTTCGGTGCCCCTGTTGCCCCTCCTCTCCAGGAGAACGCCCTTAATCCGTCTATGCTTCGCTTCTTACAGAGAACAAATATGGTATAAACATGTGATTATTTTGACTTTTTTTAAAACAGCTCTTAGGCTTTTTCTGTATCTCAATCAGTATGTACAAAAAGGTTGCGCTGAGAAAGCTAATACTGATTCAGAGCAAAATTTGGCGTGACAGTACAGGACTACAATACTTTTTAGCGTAAGCTTTTACTGTTTTTTCAAATAGGCAAAAATTTACAGTAGTGGCGACGTTATCTGTGTTTATAACGATTGCTGTGGCTATAGTAGCTGGAATACATTGCTGGTTTATGATTGTCATTGTTAAGTGTGCCAGGTATTTCCGTGACTTGGAACCCGTCAAGGTAACCGTTTTCCGCCAGCTTCCTTTTTTCCTCGATCTGTTTCATAGTAATTTATTAGTAATTATTTTTTAATTATTAATCCGGCTGGTCCAAAATAGTCCATTGTATTACCAGTTCTGTTGCATGAAAAGGAAACATGGAATTCATCCTTCGGCTGTTTTTTCATTTTTTTTCACTTTATTTACGGTTACCACTAGCAGCATATATCGATACCTTCTAAGTGTTACTATTATTGCTATTATTATTAACTTCATTATCACTTTATTTTCGTCATCATTATTATTTTGACTATTATTGCTGTTATTATTATTGCCATTGTGATTATAATTCCTGTCGTTATTATCATTATCATTACCAATACTGTTAATACTATTGCTATTATTATTATTACCATTCTCAATATTATCATTACTTCTATATCACTGCCTTCACAACCGTCCCACTTATTTTCACCCGCTTTAGAACTGCGGCGAGACGCATTCCATCTTGAAACAAGAAAGGACACTTTTTTTCTTCCGATCTACTGAAGCTACAGTCTTGAAAAATGTGGTGGAATAACTGATCAAAAATACCAAAGTTAAAAATTTGGAACTATTTCAGCGCAACTTTATGCAGGGATACAGCGCAGCGTGGTTTCCGGATGGAAGTGCGGAGAATGAAAGTACATTGACCAAACAACGTGCATTTTGATTAGATTGTGCTGTAATGAAATAATGATAATGCGGTTTTTGAAATACATAGCAATTTTCAGTCTCGATTTCCCGCAAACGAGAAAAATATTCCGAATCTGAATCCCATTTTTCCTGGGCAGAAGAGCTGTTTCTCTTTAATGCGCTATACTTCAATTACCCTAACATTTTACGATTCTCTTTTATGTGTTTTTGCATATTTATGCAAGATGCAAAAATTCACCGTAGCACAAGTAAAATTTCAATTTTTGACAATTTTAGCACCCATTTAACACTACAGCCAAACTGAGTAGTAGGCTGCAGCTTCGAGTTACTGTCCACGTGAGAGTCCGTAAATGTTAACTTTTGCTTATTCTCTACTGATGGGCGCTTTGAATCCTCAAACTGCAACTTTCATCATTCTTCGTCCTCGGTAATCAGATAGGCAAGAAAGCAGAAATTTTGTGAGAATGCATGTCTCGTACGGCACTAAAAACGTAGAATCAACTGACGCAAATGCTGCGTCTCGCACATGAATATGGAGAACATCAGTTTGCGAAAACACCCGTAATCGCACCGAAAACACAGATTGCTATTGGGTTTTTTGAAAAGTAAGAACCGTCAACAATTTTGCCAGCGTGTGGTTGATTTTGGCATTTACTACCGGTAGTGCCACTACTTCCCATGCTATTATCCGCATATGAATGCGAAGAATACCAGGTTGCAAAAATACCCATCATCGCACCGACAACACAGATTGCTATTGGGTTTTTTGAAAAGTAAGGGCCGCCAACAATCTTGCCAGCGTGTGGTTGCTTTTGGCATCTACTACTGGCCATGCTACTACTTCCCAAGTGCCTTCACCCTCCTCTTGCAGCGACGGAATACGGAGCGATTGTGATTCTTTTGATTTTGACAAATGTTTCTCATTGCATCACAGCTTTATTTCTGGAAAACCCATTTTTTGAAAACAATAAAGATTAAGTGTGTTGCTGCTGCTCCTTGCTATTTTCCGGTTCGCCATTATCGCTGATATTATCCCATTCAATATCGTTACCATCAGTGCTCCACTGGTCTTCCACTTCAATCTCAACATCATCATCCTCATATGATTCCGATGAATCATCTGCAACATATGATCCTCATTTCTCATTTCAGTCATTTGTTCAACGATAAAAAATTTCAAGGAATGGATATATCTTAGCAGACTAGATCGATACTGCTCTAAATTTGATTTGGCTGCATAAATGATAACAGCTTCGATGCGTATCTACAAAACAGTACAGCTTGCGTTTTTTGCACATCTCTGCCTAAAGTCCATTAAAGTCAAAAATTTAATTAGGATCTTTTACAGGTTTTTTAAATTCAGCTCTAGCATACGCTTAAGTTTCACGTGCAGTCACGTGAAAGTTCTGATGGAAAATCTTACTAGTTTGGAAACTAGAAGACCTAAGAGCCAGGTTTCAAAAAGGTCAAGGATTAGATTTCATAAATTTCAGCTTCCCAACTTATCTGATTACACGATGAAAGCACGTCACCAAACAAACAAACAAACACCACTTACCGAATTTTGCTAACGTATTTTTGCACAAGCTTAGTTGCGAAAAAAAAAAACGCAAATTAAAAGCAGGAAATTAACAAAACAAAGGAACATCCTATGAGAGGCTCAGTCAAAATCGTCTTGGGCTGATTTTGGGTACTTAAGACAACAATCAAACTGGTGCAGGTGCTACAGAAGGACCAAGATGAGCAACCCCAAACAATCGAGCAACCCCGGTGCTGAGAAACATGAATTTCCACTGATTTTTCGAGGTGCTGCAGAAAATCCAAAAACAGAAAAACCAGTACTAGTAATCCCAAACGTTTGTTCGTACAGTTTTCGTATTATGGGCGCTTTTCCAGGAGAATAAGTTGGTGCTGTTTTCAATGTGAGGAGCGGGCAGTGCTGCCAAAGAGAAAATGCAATCTTGCAAGGATTTAAAGAATATTCATTATGATACTGATTCTTCGAAATGTATAAAAATAAATTTTGCAAGTCATCGACACTTATACATTTTGATCAGCTGTTCTTTAATCGAACGCGCATCTACTCGAAGCAACTTCTCCATTCCTCTCTATGTTGGGTCTCTCCTATTCACATAAGTCCATTGAAACCGTTCAAGCGGATCCTTCCATCGCACTGACATTCTTTCAGCACGCGTTGGCACCATTCAGTAATTGATCTGTGCATTTGTTGCCTCTCATTCTTGCCACATGATCAGTCCAAACTCTTACTCTTGGGGTGCACTGCCTTGATAATAATTTCGCTCACATCGGATCGAAGCAGCAGTGCTTCGCTACTCTATCTTTGCCAATAAAATGGTGCATGTGGTACTAAAACACTAAAAGCATCACGAATGATGAACTCGTTCACAAAATTTCGTTAGCGTGCAATGAGTCTTTATTGAACTTCGTTTCCGTTGAGCGATGGAATGAACTAGGCACCGTAGCATTCATACAGCCTCAGACGCCGTTTTTTGTAATATTCTCTGCCAAAACTTTTAGTTGCATATTCAAAATCGTCCTCACCGTCCTGCAATTTTTACGTCCTCATTAATGCGATACTTCCATATAATTTTCGGAGTCTCCTGAGTCACTTTTGAGACTGAATCTGAACTGCACCTCATAAGAAGAAAACCTAAGACCTTAATTACCGTGCCACACATTATTCTGCGTCAGAATTTTGGACAGTACGTGCAGTGGTCAGCCAAAGGGCCAAAAATTCGCTGTTTAAAACAAAATCACAACGCAGTTTATAAAAGATTTAAAAAAAAAACTGCTGGACCATCTATCAGACTGCGATTTTTATGAACCGAGCGTTAGGATCGCCAGTGGGCTGACCAACAGACAATACAGCACTAGATAAAACTAGAAAAATTGGCCAACGCACGGACTGCCCGTGCGAAGATGCGTTTTTTGCAGAGTTCCCCGCAGTTTT